TAACAGATATACGAAAGCTTAAACAATCCTCCCTCTATCATCTCGAGAAGGATCAGAGCAATAGTACAAAGTTATTAAGATTACTCCCTCTGATGTCACTGGTCGGGTTGTTTCTTCCGTTTTCATATGCCCTCACAAAGATTCCAAATTCGTTTGTCATGAATACCGCTAAGATTTTTTAATCACATAAAAATGGGAATTTTTCTAATCTCCTGTAGAAAAAGGCAATATCTCCCCAGTGGGGAATCGAACCCCGGTCTCCCGGGTGACAGGCGGGAGACCGGGGGAGACCATTATACTACCGAGGACATTTGTATAGGGAAAGGCTTAGAGAACCAGTAATTTTGAAAACAATATTTCAGGCTCCTTTAGATCTTTTTGTCATTATGGCTTTCCGAACAAAGAAGGAACTAACCACAGAACGTAAATTGAATTGATACATGCCAGCTTTTATGATCCTGCTAATGGATATGCGAAGCAACGAGTGATGTGGAGAAACCCTGTCATTTGTTCTGACTACGCGAAATCGTTCTCTCTACGTCTTCGACGTCTTTCTGCCGTCTGTGATTATCTTGAAAATTGATTCTTTGACTCTTGAGTTACTATCAAACATGAACTTAAAATGAAACGTCCCAGCGTGCGTAACTCCCGTGTCACCCTGACAGCCCAACTTCATCAGTTCGTCAGCAACAGGAGCGAGAAGCAAATAAATGATAGAAACAACCGGGTCTGTTCTCACAACACCCTCCGCGATTCTGCCGTTAGTTTAGTCGAACATGGCATTTCAGACATGGCGTAGATGCCACTAAAGTGCGTTCATGCAAGTTTCTGTGGTGGAGTGGTTATCATATTCGCCTAACACGCGGAAGGTCGCTGGTTCGAGCTCTGCCAGAATCAAATTTTGTCACAATCGTCCACACTATAGGAAATCCAAATTTCATCATCATCCTCTTATCATTATAATTTTTCTTTTCTGAGTATTTTGAGGGTGAGTTAACTAAAAGACGCGCTTACCGGTGGCTG